ATTCCCAGGTCAGTGAGTATTAATGTATTCCATATTTTGCTGCTGTTTTCCAGTATTAAACATGTCAACATTTTACACTGGAGTCATAAAAGTTAGTGAGATAGTTCTGATGAATAGCAATAAGCCAGAGTAAAGAATAATGCATAACATGAATTCCTTAGGAAATCAATTAATATTTTTATAAGCAGTAGTAAAAATATGATCAGGGTTAGCAGAGAGTGAGGTCAGGCTATTTGATCCCCAAATATATTCTTGGTTCAGTTCCATCTATCAATGTAAAAATATTCTGTTCTGTGTCAAAACCGAAATCTCAGTGCCCCCAAGACTAAGACATTTTATATATCAGGATGTACAAAATTCTAGTTTGGCCATGTAGCCTTTGACAGGGGACATAAACTGTAATTCCTGCAGTACTTTCAGGTTCCTAATTGACTTTTTATGGATTCCTGAACTTAGTTCTGAATTATGTATTATGTGTGCAAGTAAAACACTCTATATTGTGAATTTCTTGGTGAGGTTGTTGTAAGCAATTCTAATACTGGGGTAAATGATGATTAATATTTGAAAATAAAAGTGCTAGTGTATTCATATACTTCAAACACCATTTCCATCCATCCATCCATCCATCCATCCATCCATCCATCCATCCATCCCCAATGAATGTTGAACTCCAAATACATGGAGTTACTGAGGACAATAATGTCAAAATTAAGGATGGGAATATAAAGGCATGAAACAAGTGTAACACTTCAACTCGAATCCTGGTATGTGGGACTTAAGCTCAAATAATTCTTTATAATGGTAATAAATTTGCTGGAACCATCCACATCTATCAGGCCTATCTGAGATGGACTGACATTATCATTTAAATAGAAATCCTTGTGTTCATGTATGAGCTAATGTGCACTGCTCTCCAGGTAACAGTTAAGCCTAGTGATACAGCAGAGCACAAGATCCGGTAATCTGATTTTCCAATGGACAGTACTATATTTTTGAAAAAGAGAGTCATAAATACAGTCAAAGCACTTATTTTAAGAAGCCAAAGACAATCAAAATACTGAAATCTGTTTCTTCAGATGGAAACCACATACAACAGGAATCATGGGTGTATGAAGGACCATCTAGGTATGTAGCGGTGAGCTGACTGACTGGAAGACAACACACGCAGTTGTGTCTCAGCTTTGAGAGTGGGTATCCATGGGCACATCACAATGCATCTCTAAGGCCTAGCTTTATAACATCAAGCATTTCTTGGGTACCTAGATAATAAGAGTTGCACTTTTTAAATCTGTTGGTAGTTGAGAAAAAATTAAGCCCAAGTAGACTCACAGATATTTTACATTTAATTGTAAACTACAACCTGAGAACCACCGAGGTTAGTGAGACCTAGAATGTCTTCACATCTGAGACTCTATGATTCTTCCATAGCTTTGTTATCAATGACTTTCCTTGAATATTGTGTAGGATGAGGTGCTTTCTACTTCCTGAGGCAGCCCATTTTGCTGTTGGTTGTCCACGGTATAAGGGCAAATGCCAAGCAGATATTCATTGTTCTCTAACTTCTACTTATTGGGCCCTGTTCTCTATGAATAACATGAACTAACCATGATTTCTACCACACAACAGCTTTCCATTGCCACCCTTAAATCCAGAAAAGATTGGCAGCTTACAAGAATGAACAAATCATAGCAGAACTGTGTACATCAGAAAAAGGGGAAGAGAAAGAAGGAAAAAAGTGAAGCCAGAAAATAAGTTTCAAAATCTGTTGCAATAATGGTCTATTTATATGTGATAGCTAGCACACAATTATGGCTCCAGGTTACTGACCAGTCAGCTTTCAGAGGGACCCCTTATAAGTTGCACAATTTAAAATGTTCTCAAGGACAATATTCCTCAGGACAAGCCTAAGTGCTCCCATTGCAAAGGTCAGCCTGGCAGAGCCACCATGTTATCTCATAGAAAAGTCCATTGGGATGTTCTGAACTGCACGCATCAAATTTCCTGTATAATGACCACAATGTAAATGAATGACATTTTGTCAAAGTACTATGTAGGAGAAGCAATTCTTTGAAGGATTAAAATACTGACGCCTAGATACCTAATTCCCTGCTGTTGATGGAGCTTGATTCTAGAATATTTGAAGGAGAGGATCAAATGATTATCCTGAACAGAAGGATTTTTATTTTGATAAGCATTGATTAAACTTTTTATTAAATAGTAAACAAATATACATTGTATGCCAGGTACCGTTCTAAACATTTTACATTTACAATCTCATTTCATTGTCATAATGGTCTTATATGGGGTTGCTATAATACACCCTATTTTAGAGATGAGACAGAGGCACAGAAAGACTAAGACCACTAGTAGTTGATGGAGCCAGGATTTGAACCTAAGGCATCCAACCCAATCTCCTTTTTAATAACCACTACAGAATCCCAAAAACCATGTTAGTTTGGTTAACAGTCTTTTGTGAAAGTTGAGGATTTGAAGGAAAAGGGCAATGATGAGGTCAATTTATCTCTTTTGAGAAGCCAAAACAATGGGGATTGATAAAAGCCTCAACAAGAGTATGGGGCCTGGGGCAAAAAGGCAGGGAGAGAAAGGAAAGCATCAAGTTAAGTGCATACTTTAGAAAATCATTTCTCTATTCTTTCTCCAAGTTCTCCAAATTATAAACTGTGGTGGTTCAGAACAGGTTCATGAATTCTTTAAGATGGAGCCTAACTACCTTCTCTTAGAGGGTGGGCTGGATCATGCCTGTCAGTTCTAATGAATGAAGTGAAGTGGAAGGGATGGTGTACATCTTTGGAGATCAGGTTATGCAGGCCTGTGGCCCTCTCTTTGCTCTCTCTTAGATCATGTGCTCTATGTAAGTTAGCTACCATCCTTGGGACAAATACCCCAAGAAGGGGGCCATGTGGTTTGGAACTGTGGCCTTCGGCCAAAAGCCAGTGAGGACCTGAGCTTTTTTTTTTTTTTGGCCTAAAATCATGTGAATGACTCATTTTGGAAGTGGATCTTCCAGCCCCAGTCAAGCCTTCAGATAACTGACGTGACCTAGCTTGATGGTGTCGTCATGAGACACCCTGAGCCAGAGCCAGGGCCACTCAGCTAAGTTACTTATGGACTCCTGATGCCCATTCTGTGGGATAATAAATGTTTATTAATTAAATGGTTAATATTTGGGGTGATTTGTTATGCAGTAATAGAGAAGTAACACAGAAACTGACAAGCACAAAAACGAACAAATGAATATAAAATAAAACTCATCACTTAGAATTTCAAAAGGACAAAGAAACATCCTGAAAACAGCTCTCCTCGTTTAGGTAAGGTTTGCCCCCAAAGTCTTTAACCCAAAGGTATGAAAGCCATTCAGTTCATTCCTAAAGTAATTTTCCAGGATTTGGACCTTAAATGTGTACATAACTTACTTACAATGTCACATTGAATGAAAAAAGGAAGACACAGCTGTTCAAAACTTAAAATTATATAGAACCCTCCAAGTTCTTTAAAGCAAGGTGAACAGCGGAATGCAGAAGATGGGCCAAAGAAACTCTTTTTCTCATAAAGAAAGTTAGGACCTTAAAATCCAGCTTTAGAGAATGGAACAACAGTGGGCAATTAGCAGGCAGAAGGATACAATTTAGTCATTAGTTAAAAACTATTGCAACTCATTTTAAAAGAAAACATTCCCCAGCATTCTGATCTCCCAGAATTTGGCAGCTGGCTTAGGCTGCACACAATCAGTGCAGATTATACAATATAACTTTAGGAAGCCTAAACAAGCTTTAGTAAACCTAAAGCTAGCAAACATGACTTGTGTTTCCATTCTAACGTAAGTCATGAGTATTAATCCAGAGGCATTTTTTTTCTGAGTAGGCATCACGGTATCTCATGGCTTTTCAACATCCACTTCCTCTACTTATGGCTCAGCCCAGGACTTTGCAGCCCCACAGATAGCTCCACTGAAGACAACAGACGCGAACTTATGCAAAGGTGACTTACGGCTCTCAGCCAAAAATTAGGCCCCGGCAATAAGCCTTTGCCAACAACACTCCTTCTACAAAGCTCCTCATGAAGTTGCAATTTTAAAAGAAATGTTTCCCCATCAAAATTCAATAGCGTTTTATAGGCACATACACTTTCTTCCTTTTCTGGCCTGTGTGAAATCTAATATCAGGATTATTAGCCATTTGTCATTTCAACCTATAATTTAGCAAGCCTTTTTGTGTTTGAGTTATGCTTTCCTCACACCTTCCCTGTCAGCTTGCAGCCATAGATTCATTCAAGAGGCTGTCTGGGTCATATTGGTTGACCTCTTAGAACAAAGAGTTTCCATGTTTCTTGTTCTGCTTCCCTAAGAGGCACCATTAGTTCTGCTCATCTCTATTTAAAATGATTTTTATGACACAATAACATTTCAAGTTTTCCATATTAATCTTCATCTTATTTCTTGAAATACTTAGGCAAACAATTCCGTTAAGACATCACTGATGGGAAATTCTCTTTCTCCTTTACTCTGTCTACTTAAAGCCAACTCTGAAAAATAATAAATTTTTTCTCTGAATCAGCTGAGCACTGGAAAACAAAAAAGTCTGGTCTAGTAATTCACGACCTCTTAGAGAAAACACTGTGACAAACAATTAAAGCAGAAACTCTTAATATGACCTTTTCCTCCCCATTGGTGAATATATATTCATATCTGGAATTCTATATCAGAATTTACAAGTCTCTTTTTTTTCTTTTTTAAAGATTTTATTTTTAAGTAGTCTCTACACCCAATGTGGGGCTCGAATTCACAGCCCCGAGATCAAGAGTCGCATACTCTTCTGACGGAGCCAGCCAGGTACCCCTAAAGGTCTATTGGCGTTATACGTCAGTTCAAAGATGTCTGAGTGCAAAGGGAAAATGAAAATAAAACAAATTTATAATCATTGCCAATTTTCTAAAAACAGACACACACACAATCAACACCCAGAGGTGTAAGTGGTACTCACCCCACAGCCCAGACTGCTGCCCCCTTCACAAGTGACCTTCCTCACGCCTGGCTCGGGAAGCAGCCCCGCTCCACAGCCAGGGCTGGGGCACAGCACACCCCCCATCTGTAGCACACACTCTTCAGTGCCATATTGCTGGTACCGGTTATACTGTAAAAAAACCAAAACCAAAAACAAAACCCAACATGAGTTTTTTAAAGTGATAATACTAAGATGTGCTGTTTTAGCCAGAATGTTAATAGTTTGTGGTGTGTGGATGTTCTTGTTCATCTGTTTCGGTAAAAAAACCAAAGGGGATGGGGTGGGGTGGATGAGTTATGATTCAACATAAAGAAAGTCTTCCCAATTGCAATTGGCAAAACAAATAACTTCATATTTCTAGGAAATTGGTCCTAAATTTCCCCCCAAAGTTTGTTCTTTTAATATTACTACCACCAACTGCATTTAACAGTCATTTCATACGAATTTTAGGAAACACAGCTATATTTTAAGTTATGGCATCATTATCAAGCTCATCAAGTAGTAATTTTCATGCCTCTCTTCAGGAGTCTATGGGCTTTTAAAGCCATTTTGAAGAGAGTCCTGATATTCCACCCTGTGCTAATTGTGGGCAGCCCACATGATATCTGAGCATATCTGAGCAATGCTGAGCATATTCAGCTTGATGAAGAAGAGATTCATGTTTTCCTTTCATCATTATTCTCTTTCTTAAAGCACGTTTCTTTTATCCTTGACTTCATCACGCCGTTGCGTGGCTCAACACCCTCTGTGGTTTCCCCAGCCTGCAGAATAAAACTACACAGTGCAGTGTCCAGCATATTCCTGTTGTAGCCCTGTTATTGTTCTCCTCATGTTATTTGATCATATTTGCTTCTAAACTCAGATCAAGTCAAGCGAATTTGCTCAACTGTGAATTAATTTATGCAACATTCGGTGACAGTCTACTGTGTGTGTGTCAGATCCGACTGTGGGTGATACAGCAGTGAACAAAACAGACACCTCTGCTCTCATCCACCTGCCTATAACAATAACACTGAAAGGTTGTATTTCAGTGGGAAGCAGCACATTTTGGAGACGATGGGGACTATAATTTTGAAGAGGTGATTAGGGGATAGGGGATGCCTTAATAAAGAAGGTACATGGAAGCAAACATCTAAGGGAGATTAGAAAAGCAAGCCATGTGGCTACCTGTGGGAATGGGCTTTTCGGTCAAGGACAGAGCGGTACCAAGATGCAGAAGCCAGACTGCGCTTGGTGCTCTGAGGTACAGCAGAGGCCAGCGTGGCTGAGTGACAGCAGACAGGGAAATGACATAAGATGCATCAGGGAGCTCTTGGGGATCTGGGCTGTGCAGGTCCCTGAAGGCCACTAGGAGAACTCTGGCTGCCATTCTGAGAGATATGGGAACCACGGGAGACTTTGGAGCTGTGGGGTGACATCATTTGACTAATCTTTTAAAAACAGCCATCTGGCTGAAATATTCAGAATTGACTCTCATGGGCAAGGATGGAAGGAGGAAGCAGAGGAGCAGGCAGGAGGTTTTCAGGGATCCACATGCAAGATGGCAGTGGCTTGAACCAGCAAGGTAGTGGTGGAGGTGGGAGATCAGCTGGATATATTTTGAAGGCAGAAATGGCAAAATTTTTAGGCAGATTGGATACCTGGCATGAGAAAAAAAAAAAGGAGTCAAGTATGAATGTAATGTTTTTGCCTGAGAAGACAGAAGAACACACACACACAGAAGGAGACAGAGAATGAATGACAGAGATGGAAAGACATATAAGAAGGGGATGTGTCTGCATCTGTGTGAGTGTGCATGAGCATGTGTGTGTGTAGGCTGGGAGTTGGGAAAAGGAGTCATTATTTCTAGTGCTCATCTTCAGTTTGATAAACTGCTACATGGCTAAGATGCTGAGTGGCTAATTGAATATATGAGTTTGGAGTTTAGGAGAAAGATGTGGGTGGTAGATACAAATTTTGAAATCATATGTGCATGGAAGGCTGGGAGGAAAAGGGTTAGTATCAGGCCTCCCATGCATTTTCTCATTTTTTTGGCTCCGGGAAAGAAAGAAAGATGACTTGGTCAAATCCTTTTGTAAACATGCTAATGGTACATACATACAATGGTATTTACTAGAAAAGACTTCTTAACTATGGAATACATTAAGCAGGAAATGCTTCCATGATGAATGATTCTTCGAGTGATGGGGAATGATGAGACAGTTTATATAATTGAGAGATTTCATGTTAATGATCATTCCATGAACTTCTCTGAAACCTCATTTATTAAGTCTGGCCTAGAGTACACCCTAAGACGCTGAGAAACAACCCACACTTCTCGGTGCCTTGTGTGCACCTCATTATTACCCGCATCCTTGAAGTTATTAGTAAAGCTTGACACAAGGTTACATCTATGATTCCTGTGAGTCTGATTTGACAATCCAATTCTGTGTTATCTCAACAGTCATGAGGCTGGCTGAGACTACCTAACCTTTGTAAGGAAGATGAGAAGGAGCCAGAAAAGGGGACTGAGAAGAAGCAGCTTATGAGGCAGGTGGAAAATGAAAAGGATGTAGGTGTCCTGGAAGCCAAGGGAACAAAATTCTTCAAGGAGGGTGTCATGATAAATGTGAGCTCCGTCCCTGGGCAGGTGGGGGAGTGGGATCGCAAGGGCGAGTAGAAGGTTTGGCTTGAGGAGGGAAGGCTGCCATCCTCAGCAAAGGAAGGGAGGCAAAGTATTTGGGCCCAGGCGCAGACCGACAAAGGAGGTGTTGGAAATTTGAGAAGAGAAAGAAGGTATCAATGATCAGGGGAGAGGGAATGGATGGAGGGAGCCAGCATTATTGCTAGGCAGCACTAACAACCCATTTGTAGGCAGAGATTATGAATTGAAAGGAAAACTAGTCAGCAGAATTTTGTTTTTCTCCAATACCTGGCTGCAAAGTACAGAGTAGGCAGGAAGTTGGATTTAAGCCCAGTGGGAGTTTGGTCAGACTTACGTGAGAGAGCAAGGCACTCCTCAGTCCCTCCCACCCCTATGTGCATCCCCTCATGCAACTGTGAATGAGTTCAATAAATATCTATCGAACCCCTCTGAGGTGCTCGGCTCAGTGCTGTACCACTGGACTGTCCAACCTTCATACTTTGGCCTACCCCAAATGGGTACAAAGTTTTAGTTTTGCAAGATGAATAAGTTCTGGAGATCTAGTGTGCGCAGTGGTAATACAGTGACTAATACTATATTGTATACTTGAAATTTGCTCAGAGGGTAGGTATTTCAGAACTATAAGGCTTTTCTTAACATTTGCTATTTTACATCTGTATCTCCTTTCTTCTACACTGGTTCTTAACACAGAGGATGATGGAAGAGGAAACAATATTCCACAATAGCTCATTTGCTTGATCTCATACATATATAAGGATATTAGAATAACTATACCAATATCTAATCTACAAATATGATTACTAAAAACCTCACATATATCTTTACATGCTATACCATTTCTTCTGCCAAGCTTTTCTAATTATACTGTATCTGTATTGTTGAAACATATGGCCATTCCATACTATGCTTTCTTTTTCTTAATTTTCATGTTATCTTGGGTCTAAAGACACACACACACACACACACACACACACACACATGTTCGCCACCAGTCCTTATGTTGATGTCTTTCCAGTAATTTTGTTTGTGAGAAGGAAATTCTCCAGTAAATTCCTCAGAAGGAGTGCATGGGAAAGACATTCACTGAGGTCTTATGTATGGGTGACCATTCCTTGGGGCCTTTATTCTTGAAAATGAATTGGACTGGATATAAAGTTCTTGGCTCACAGTTTTTCCTCCTTGAGCATCTTTACTGTCTTATTCCATGTGTTTCTGCTATAAGGCATTATGGACAAGCTTGATACAATCTGATTTTTTCCTTTACACATTGAATTGATAATCTTTTTGCCCAGATGCCCAAAGGATTTTTTTTTTTTCTTTAGAATTTGATAGTTTGTTAGACTATACCTTGGTGCTGGTCATTTTCTGATCATTTTTCACGATTCAAGGAAGCTGTACTGAATTTAATTTTCAGTGTTTGCTCTATTTTCTTGCTTCGATGTGTTTCTTACAGGATTTCTAGTATACATACATTGGATCTTTTTCACTCACCTTCTCCATCTGTCAACTTTTCTGGAATCTCATCTCACTTTACTTCCATGTTTTAGAAGTTTCTTCCTTTTCACTTCCTATTTCTCTTAAGACAATATCTGTTATTTATGTGTATTTGTATAATTTCTTAATCATGTGGTTCCTTTTGAAATAGTTACTCTAGTTTCCACCTGACTGACATACTTTTCTTGTGTCTCAGGACGTCATTCTGCTCTTCATTCTCTGTAACTCTTCAAAACTTTGTATGGAATTTAACTTTGCTTCTTGCTGTTGCACAGTTTTACATGAAATCAGTTCTGCAACTTTAGAAACAAGTACAACCCAGCATAGCTCTTGGTGGTTCCTCTTCTCGTTGGTGGAACTTACTTTCTATGAGCTTCCAGCTTTGTTACCCATTTTAACTGGATTTTAATTGGATTTCCTCTTCCCTCATCCCCTTTTCTATTCCAAGCACGTTTCTGCTCAGTGTGAGTCCTTGTCTCAAAAGAGATCTTTGGCTGCTTAAGTTTTGTGAGTCCAGGGGACCCAGAGTATCCGGTCCCTTCAGACCTTACTGTAGACCCTTTGCACTCCCTCCCATCCTTTCTTGTATTTGTATCTCCTGAATTTGCTAGAGTACCTTGTCCATAGCTGGTAAACAACAAATTGTTGTAGGATGAATTAATTAAATCTAACTCCAGTGAGCACCAATTAATTAAATACTTCTAACAAAATAATCAATGGTGACGGGAATTAATAACAGTGATGGTGGATGGATTTCTATTTTAAATAAATGGCTCTCAAGCAATTGGCTATTTTCTGATTTAACGACAGATTACCTGTCTATTTAATTTAGTTAAGCGATTTTACTACTATGACGATAGCTTTTATCCACGAAGAAGTTAACCTATGGACAAAGTCCATTAACATTTTAGAAATTCTTGCTGACTACATTCATAGTGGCCTCAGATACTGATGAAATTGGTTCACTTCATTAGCTAAGGAATTTATAAAA